TCAAGAATATGCAAAGAACCTCAAACTGTAAAAAAGAGACTGTAAAGATTAATAGACAGAAACCTCATTTAAATTGGAGTTGGGAGGGTTTGTGGGGGGAGCTCTCACACTACATCAATGGTGGATCCCAACAGGAAGAATTCTTTGTTTATAATGGCTCTCCCAACTTCCTCTTCTCTATGAGTTTCCTCTCCTTTGTTTCTCAGGACTTGCATGTGGTTCACCATTAGACCATATATCCTGAATATCAATTCTTCGTTGTGTCCAAGTAAATCCATTTTCCTGGAGAAATATCTGACCTCTGTCTGTTTGTTTAGGGTCAACAGATTCCAGATAGATTGCAGTGTTAGATTAACAAAGAAAAAGATAGGAATAAATCATAAAATAAATAGGAGAAAATACAGATGACTATTGATATGATCTGGGGTGAGAAAGAGAATTTGCTTTAATCTGGAATGAAGGAGGGTAGAAAGCAAGAGGCCTTTCTTGTGATACAGCTTGATGTTCACAGTCACACACTCTGTCAGATAGGCCCTTCTTTTTTTTTTAATCCTCACCCAAAGATATTTTTCCATTGACTTTTAAAGAGAGTGGAAAAGAGTGGAAAAGGGAAAGACGAGAGAAATATCGATGTAGTAGAAACACATCAATTGGTTGTCTCCTGCACACACCTAGACTAGGGCCCAGGCCGGGGAGGAGCCTGCAACAAAGGTACATGCCCTTGACCAAAATCAAACCTGGAACCCTTCTGTCAGCAGACTGACGCTCTATCCATTGAGCCAAACCGGCTAGAGCTAGACTCTTCTTAATGAGTAGACTCTGCATCTCTCCGTTCATCTCACTTTCCACCTTTTCAAGCTTCTCCAAATTCTTCAAGGATCTCCTCTTTTCACTATACTTTTGGTTGATGGTTTCACCCTCTCTTTTCAAGAAAATGGGGCCATTAGGACACTTCAATCCCCCCTCCTCTAAGTGGCTGCATAGTCTCTTCCTCTTCTCTTACCTCACCAAGGGAAGGGTGCTTTCTTTCCACCCACCCTGCTTCTGCCTTTTCAGGACCCACCAATGTCAGTTATTTCCTTCTCTTTCCCACCCTTCCACCTCTTACTTCCATCCTGGATTTTTTCTGGTTGCCCTTAATTATGCCATGACCTTTCCTGTGTTTGGAAGGGGACACTACTTTGGCTCCATATCTCGTCCCCGCCACTTCTTGCATTCTCCTCCCAGTCACATCCGAAACAGTTTACTTGTCTCAGCACAATCCCTCACCTTCCACTCCCTTCTCCACCCACTGCAGGATGGCTTGGAACACCAGCATTCATCCTAAATTACTCTTGCTTGGGTCATGAATAATCTTGTAGACACTGAATCCACTTGGAAAATATGAGGTTGCATCCTACTTGACTACTTAGCCACACCTGTCACTCTTTTTTGTTGTTGTTAATCCTCACTTGAGGATATTTTTTCCATTGAGTTTTAGAGAGAGTGGATGGGCGGGGGTGGGGAGAGAGAAAAAGAAAGAAGGAAGGAAGGAAGGAAGGAAGAAAGGATTTTAGAGAGGGCGGGGGTGGGGAGAGAGAAAAAGAAAGAAGGAAGGAAGGAAGGAAGGAAGGAAGGAAGGAAGGAAGGAAGGAAGGAAGGAAGGAAGGAAGGAAGGAAGGAACCAGGTGGTCTCCCTGAATGGGGATCAAGCCTGCAACCTGTAATCTAGGTATATACCCCTGACCAGAATCAAACCCGGGACCCTTCAGTCTTCGGGCTGATGACCTGTCCATTGAGCCAAACTGGCTAGGGCCACACCTGTCACTCTTCACCAGCCCTTCTGGGTCCTCCCTTGGCTGCTGTGATGACAGCTCACCTTCCTGGTTTTCCCTTGCCTCTCTGCACACAGCCTCTATTTTTCAGTGTCTTTGTTTTCCTCCTATTTGTTAATATTGGAGTTCCTCTGGGCTTAGTCCTAGACCTTTTTTTTGTTGCCCTCTACATTCTTACTACAATATCTATTCCCTGCCCATGGTTTTAATTTCTAAACATTGGTCCTAGTCTCATATATCCAACACCGCAACTCAAAATTGCCGCAAGGGCACATACACGCCTCCAATGAAGTATGGCCAACGCTTCCTTTCCCAAACGAACTCTCCTCTGAGCTTCTTCTCTATGAACAACACTCTGATCCACTCCAGTTGTATAAAGCAGAAGAGCTGGATCTTCCTTAACACCTCTCTCCATCTCTTCACCCTTATCCATCACCACCAATTCACATTAGTTCAGCACCCCCAAATCTCCTGCACATCCTCTGTATACCATCACCCTGGCCCAAGCTACCATATCTGCGCCCCCCCCCCAAGATGGTTTTTCTCCTCCTGCTCTTGCCCTCCCAAAGGTATCCACCCCACTCAATACACACCCTCCCCACTTTTGCCCTAGTAACTTCTACTTACCCATTGACTTGAATTTATTTTCACATATTATCCTGATTTGCCAGACTGGTTTTTCTCTGCTTGTTATAATTCTCCTGACACCTGCACTTTATCTCCACTCCCCCAAGATGGTTTTTCTCCTCCTGCTCTTGCCCTCCCAAAGGTATCCACCCCACTCAATACACACCCTCCCCACCTTTGCCCTAGTAACTTCTACTTACCCATTGACTTGAATTTATTTTCACATATTATCCTGATTTGCCAGACTGGTTTTTCTCTGCTTGTTATAATTCTCCTGACACCTGCACTTTATCTCCAAGTCCTGATAACAATTTTAAGAATTTAATTGTGAGTGTAATTATTTATTTAATGTCTGTCTCCCTTTTCAGAACACAAGCTTTAGCAAGGATTTGACTCTAGGTTTCTTAGCCATTGGTGTATCCCTAGTGGACCACCACCATCCCCTTGGTCATATTAAAGAGTCAATAAATATTTGTGGAAAGGATGAATGGTTAAGGAAAAGCAATAAGAGATCTGACTACTCCAAAGCTTCTACATACCTAAAAGATTTTAAAAGCAAATGAGAAACTGACAAAAATATTTGTAACTTATGCAAAACAGCTTATGTTCTTAAAAACAGATTATAATTACCAGCTCATAAAACAATGATGAACAAAAATGAAGAGCCATACAGGGAAATGAGCACAGGGTATAGAGAGGATGTTCATGAAAGAATCAATGCAAATGGCCAATTAAGCTGAAAAACAAATCCACTCTCTCCAGTATTCTAAAAAAAGATACACACACAGACACTTATTTTTTTAAATAGTCAGTGGTGGCAGAGGTTGAAAATCGGCATATTTTTCTGTTGGGGATCCCAGAATTGTACCAGCTTTCTGGAAGGTAATATGGTAATATGTATCAAAAGCCTTTAAAATAGAATAGTTCATCTATGTTGGCTCAGTAGATTGATTTCCAAAAATGTGTCTTAGGGACATCAGAGTTTCAAATACTTACTTATAAGAATGTTCATCACAGTGTTGCTTATAAAGAATTTAAGCCAAATGTAATGCCCAGTAATAAAGGGTTGGTGACTGGAATGGGGCCTGTCCTTCTCTAGGCAGCCATTAAAACACATGGCCCCAAAGAACATGTAAAGGTTTTTTAAGTGTGATTTGTTTAGCTATAAAAGAAGATCACAACATGAAATGCACAGAAGGAGTTTAATTTTTAAATAAATAGGTATATGCATTGGCATAAAAATATCTCCAATTCTGGGGAATAGGAGTGATTTTGTTCTTTTCTTCTTTAAATCTATTTGTATATTCTTAATAGTCAACAAATCCTGCGTATCGTGTCCATAATGAGAAAAACTAAATATATTTTAATTTAACAATAGGGAACTGATTGCAACATATGGCCAAGGCTCTATCTAGAGAGGCGAGCGTGGTGATTAAGAGTATATGCTTCGAAACTCACAGATAGGTATTCGGTTCCCTCATTATAATTTAAGAGCCATATGACCTTGAGCGAGTTACTTGATTCTCTTAGCCTCAGTTCCCTTCTCAGTGCAAAAGAGATAATAAGTACTGGGCAGAGCTGGTTTGGGGCTTCAATGAAATAATGTATGTAAAATTCTGATCAAAGAGTAAGCGTTTGTAAAAGTACCTGCTTTTATAAGGCCAACATATAAATAGATCCTGTAATGCTTTACATGAATTCAAGATTCCCTTGGGGGTTATAAAGAAGTTCGGGGAATTATTTATTTTGTGGTTCAGCATCTTCCAGGCTGTCACACGATGGTGGAGTCCAGCAGGAGGATGCTGGCTGGGAGACGGACCTGGGTACCAAGCAGCCTAGGAAAGGTTTTGCTCATTAGGGCAAACTGCTGGCATAGGTCATTTATTCCCCTAGTTACCCAACCAGCAAATGGTTATTAAGCATCTACCGTGTTCCAGACATTGGAGGCTCAGCAGCGAGACGGCCTAGCTGCCTCCCCGGAGCATGGCGAGCTCCTTCTAATTGGATTGAGACTTCAGGGCACATAGTTCCCGATGGATTCAGCTGAGGAAGCACTTCCTGTAGCTGGAGAAAACTGGGCAGGGTTTGGCAAGTGAAGCTCACTTTGCATTCTGCAAATACCAGTCCTAAGGCAAGAGTCTAGCCCCAGAATCCCACGTGCTGGCAGGACTGGGGGACCTACAGATGTCCTCCAACCCTGGTCAGGTTTAGTTCAAGACCAGACTTGCTCGGTCTGCAGGTCAAAAGCCATCAGGCTTCCAGGAGAAGGGTGAACAAACTATGGCCTGTGGGTCCGCTCCAGCCCATGGCCTGTTTTTAGAAATAAAAGTTTTGTTGAAATGAAGCCATGCCCATTTATTTATGGATTGTCTTAGGCTGTTTTTGTGCTACAAACACAAAGTGGAGTAGTTGCAACAGGGACCGTATGGCTCACAAAGCCTAAAATAATGATTATCTGACTCTTTACAGGAAAACTTGGCCAACTCTTGTTCCAGGTCAGTGAGTCTGGGGACATGAGACGGAAGGCGACATCAAGTTCCTAACTTTTCCCTTCTGCAGTTCCAGGTGCTGTTCCTCTAGAGTCCATCCAAGGGGGGCCCTTTGAGGAGAAGATCTACATCCAGTGGAAACCTCCCAATGAGACCAATGGGGTCATCACGCTGTACGAGGTAAGGGGGCCCCTTTGGCTGTATCTCTTGTCAGGCTCCATTCTATTGACTTCAGTCTGAGGCCAGCGAACACCTATGTTCAGAGCTGCACTGAGGGCATAAAGGGGAGTGAGACACAATCACCGACACGGTGGGAAGAAAACGCAGGGCATACTGCTGTGCTGCATGATAGCCCCGATGACAAAGCAAATGGGCATACGATGCATTGAAGGGATTCTCGATCGCTTCAGCAAAGGTTTCAGGATGCAGGGAGCTGGGCTGTCCTGGCATGGCCAAGAGGACCCAGGCCTGGCAAGCAGTGGTAACGATTCATCCACAATGCTCGCATGATGCCCATCCTACCCACACCAGTCCCTGGGCTTCCAAAAGAATCCCAGCGTCACTCCCTTCCCTGGAGGCACATGATTCTTGAGCTTTAACATGGCTCTGGGGACCAGGCATTCTTTATTGTCCTCCAAGTGATGCTGTCCTGGGATTAGCAGGACCTTATATCAGAGATGGAGCCGATCCTCCTCAGGCAGGAAGGACTCAAGCCAACACAATGCAGCTTCCTAAATACTTTCAGAATTAGAACGAGCTGTATAGAAGCTCACTGAAAAACAAAAACAAACAAACTAAACTTTGATAAGGCTGATAGAGCTCATTTCTAGTATTGGACTATGGCCAGGATTGATCCTCCGCCACTTACTTGCTATGTAACCTTGGGTTTATCCTGTAGCCTTTCATTTATATTTATAAGCATATATAAATATATGTTTAGTACTCTGGCATTTAGAAATCTCATTAATAAATGTTAGCTCTTATCATTGCATAAAAATGAGAAAATTGAGACTCAGAGTGGTGAAGTGAAAAGACCAAAGTCACATGATGGCAAATTCATGGATCCTGAATTCAAGTGCAAGTGTCTTGCCCCTTAGTCAGTGTGGTCCATGGACCAGTCGCATCAGCAATGCCTGGGGGCTGGTTAGAAATACTTCATCTGAGGCTTCACCAGAGCTCCCGAATCAGAGTTTCTGTTCTCACAAGATGCCTGTTTGTGATTCACGTGGGCATTGGAGTTCAAGAAGCACTGCTGTAGACCAGGAGTCTTTAGAGAGTTTTGACACTTGATAAAAGAGTGTGTCCTCCTGAGAAGAGAGATGGGGAGTCGTCCGTCCCCCCCGCCCCCATGCTGGGCTCAACCCAATTCTGCTCCAGACAGGAAGCGGGAGCCCTTGCTTTTAAAGACATTTATAACAGAGTATATGTTTATGAGGCAATTTCCAAATTTAATTAGATGAAACCAATTTGATTTTTAAAATTAGGTTCTTGTTGTAATTGTAGAGAGAAATCCATAAATTAAAAATCACCCTCTCTGGCCTCAAAAAGTATATTTTGTGACAAAGAAAAATGGGATAACACAAATGAAAGAGAAATTCAAGATTGTCTCCCTCTTCTTAAGTTCAACCTTGAACTCAGCAAAGTCAAAAGCCAAAAACAGGGAGAGGTATAGGTGGGTTGTAATGGTCTAATACTATAAATATTGTTAAGCAGTGCAGGTCCAAGCACTATGTATTGTGTTAAGATTACATTTTCTTCTCTATGACTCCAACTTTCAACCTCTGGGTCTGTCCTTGGACAGTTTTGCCCCCCCATAAAATGAGTGGCTTTGATTCTGTCTCATTCTATCTCTGGGCTTCAGTCTTGTCGTTGTCATATGAAAGTGTCAGACTGGTCCAGTCTCCAGCTGGGCAAGAATCAAGAGAAAAATAAATGTATGTCAAACCTACAAAACCAAAGGTTTAAAACTCATTTTGGAGTCGCTCTACTGTTGGAACCTTGCCTGTGGCCAGTCTTTGAAAGCAAAGAGGTGATGACACTTGGAGAAAAATAGCTAGTGCAAAGGCCCTGGGGTAGAAATGGCTTTGGCATGTTTGACAAATAGGAGGTCAGAGTGACTGAAGCTTTGTGAGCATGAAGGACAGTGATAAGACCATGGGTGGGCAGGGGCAGAGTGTGTGCTTTATCCAGAGAAGAATAAAGAGCCCTAGGAATCATATTTATATTCTTAAACAATTACCTGGCCATTGTGTGGTTAACTGGCTGTGGGTGCATCAGCATCTTGGGGACATCTGAAAAGTGTGCCAGGAGGCGAGGACATTTCCATCATCTATGAAATTGCAATGAGAGCTCGGCTTTTTATTGGAAGACCTTGTGCCCAGGTAGAGATGTGGAAACTTTGTCACATCTGCCTCTTTCCTGCTGTAACTCGGGTTAGGAATCAGACCGTGGCCTCCGATCTCCAGGGACCTATACTTTAGTGGGAGACGCAGAATACTCTTCTCGATCACAGAGTGGCAGGCGGTGCAGTTAGGTCACGTCAAAGGCCTCATGTCCACAGATGGGCATCAGACATGCAGCATCTCAGGCCCCAGCCCAGTCCCCTGAACCAGAGTCTGTGTTTTAACAAGATCTTCTGGTGATTCATGTGCACATTGAAGTGTGAGAAGCACTGGTCCAAGAGACATTCTAAAACTTCATCGTCTGGATCTGGAAAGTTCCGCCTGCTGAAAGCAGTGCAGTCCTTGATGAATAATGTGGCCATTGAACGATCTGAGTGATGTCCCTGCTCACATGGGGCCCACAAGCTGAGTATTTTCACCAGGAATGGGAATCAGGCCGTTCCCACAGACCCCGCCAGAGCCCTGCTTGGGTTTGAGTGGATCTCAGTGTTCCCCAGGCGGGGCAAGTGTGTGAAGAGAGTGGGTCTGGCTTTTCCCGTTCTGACTGCTCTTGTGAACAACACAGCTCCCCACAAATAGGCCATCAACCCTGCAGACAGGCACTTACAGCCCGGATGAGGACGTGGGGGACACGGCCCAGCCAAACAGTTGTTTAACGACTCCTCAATAAAATCACTCCCAGACAAGCTGTTCAGAGTTCATGAAAAACAGTAATCAATATGTGTCTGAATTCAATTAATTGTGCTCATCTCTATCCAAAAATAAAAATCACGCAGTGTGAGGGAATTGGGCCAGAAGATGTTACACCAGCAACGGGGTTAACGAAGTGTGAAAATATTTAAAATTCAGACATGGGAAGCGTCCCTCTAAGCTTTTCTGTTTAGCAGTCAAAATCACCAAGTTTCTAATTACAGTGTATAAATCTGAGAAGCTTAAAGGGAATGAGAGGGCCCTAATGAGTCAGGAATGGGTGTCTTGATTATGCTAGAGTTGATTGACATTTATCTTGTGAGCTATTCTAGGCGCCTGGCGTTCAGAATTGAATAAAACACACATGCTGCCTCAATAAAATAAGGCGGCGTTCCTGTGTGGGAGTGCCTTTAAAAGGTACGATGGGGTCGGGGGCGGGGGGGTGGTCAATATTTTTGCAGCATGCAGATGGTGTGCGAGTGTATTGGGAGTGCATGGCAGGAGGGCTGGGCGCGAGTTCTGAGACAGAGGAGTCCTACCAGGGACTGGAGCAGTCACACACTGATGGAGAGAGGGGCCAGTGGCACACAGGAGCTCAGGAACAAGCTCTCAAAGAGAGAGGCCCATAGGCGGTACTGGCTCAGGTTGGATGTCAGACACACCTTCCTCCTGCCCTTGGACTCAGCCACTATGGCCACTCAGAGCTCACTGACCCCAGACATGCTCATGGCTCTGGTCCATAGAGCAGCAATGGGATGAGGGGTGGGGGGAAGTGGTCCTGATGGGCAAGAGGTAGTGCAGGCAGGAAATGACTAACACAGCCCAAAGCAAGAATTTGCATAAATCAAACTGGATCTACATTAATTAGGATACACAATTTGCATAATGCAGGCTGCTATTGGGTATAACTTGAGCCAGGCTGGTAACTAGGATAAAAGCAATTGTTTCTTTTGAATTGTTTAAGCCAGAAATGTGGGAATTCTCTGTTTCCCTTACCACTTGCTAAACATTGAATGCTCTAGAACAGGGGTGGGCAAACTTTTTGACTCGAGGGCCACAATGGGTTCTTAAACTGGACCGGAGGGCCGGAACAAAAGCATGGATGGAGTGTTTGTGTGAACTAATATAAATTCAAAGTAAACATCATTACATGAAAGGGTACGGTCTTTTTTTTTTTTAGTTTTATTCATTTTAAACGGGCCGTAGTTTGCCCACGGCTGCTCTAGAAAGTTCGATTTACTTCTTCTGCCAAAGAAGACACGAGTTAGGTCACATGGCCGCATCTGAGCGCTCATCTGTTACCTGGACCATTTCAGGACTTCGCTGCCCACCCCCCACTGATGCTTCCCCTAGTGCAGTGATGGTGAACCTTTTGAGCTCGGCATGTCAGCTTTGAAAAACCCTAACTTAACTCTGGTGCCGTGTCACATATAGAAATTTTTTGATATTTGCACCCATAGTAAAACAAAGATTTATATTTTTGATATTTATTTTATATATTTAAATGCCATTTAACAAAGAAAAATCAACCAAAAAAATGAGTTCGCGTGTCACCTCTGACACGCGTGTCATAGGTTCGCCATCACTGCCCTAGTCCACTTCCCCCCCTTCAGCCAGACGCAACACCCTAAATGTAAATCCAATCCGGGCACTTCCCTGCTTTGGCTTCATCTTAACTCTAGGGCTCTGAAGGACCTGGCCCCTGCTGGCCTCACGAACATCCTCTCCTGCCCTTCCCCCCATTGCTCTGTGTGTAGCAGCCCCTGCAGCCTTCTAGCATTTTCTCAAGCTCACCCAGTTCTTAGCAGCTCATAGGACTTTGTGGATTCAGTCCTTCTGCCTCCAAGAGTTTTTACTTTCTACTTCTCATTCTGTGCCCCTCCTTCATATTCTGTGCCTCCAGGAGGCTTTCCCTGCCCACTCTCCACGTCACCCGGCATTCTGTACCATCTTCACACTCTGCACTGGTTTTGTCGTTGTGCTTCAGTATCATCCAGCCTCCTCCTGGACGTTTAGCCCATCATGGGCCATGTGACTATTATTCTGTGTTGACTTAGTGGTGCCATAGTGCTCCGATATGAGGTTAAA